AGGGAAAGTATTATATTATTGCAATGTAACATTATACAAAGCATGGGAATTCTGACATAATTAATAAATAAAATTTGTAGTATCAGTTATTTCCATTCATCAACCTGAACTATGGAAGTTTTGTGAACACACCATGTTCTTCTGTGCTCTGTGTAGGTGGATGTGGTATTTATTTGTTATACATACAGGAATAGACTAATAGAATAATCCTCTCTTAGGTAAGTGTATTACTACACTCTATTTCATAAAAAGCAGAAATGAGAATAAGAAAATATGTAGTTTGCCCAGAGTAATGCTGGGGTTTCCACCTTCTGGGTAAGAATCTTAAGAGCAGCGGCAGAAGGGGATTCTAGAAAACAAATGATTGGAGAAGCACTTGTCCTAAGGATAGCAGAGGATGGGGTCATAGGCCACAACTAGCGCTGCGCCTTCAACATAGTGAACAATGAGTAAATACTTATTAGGAATAATACTCGGAGCATGTCTGATTAACCGTTGAACCGCAAAATTGACTACAGTAGTTCAACAGCATTGGTATTTTCACTGAAGAATTCTTAGGTAAGATATTATACTCATCTATACTTGATGAGGTGCTCTGTGATTGTCCTTAAATACTCTTCTTACAGGCTCAAACTAATGCTTTGCCTGTGTTGTAAATTCATTACATCTTGATAACATCCAAGAATAATATTTTACTTCACCCAGCAAACCCAGAGAGAAATCCATTCTGTCCTCTTGTTTGACTTAAAATAGATGTATAAAGCTGCCTGTTTCCATGAAGCACTCCTTTATTAGAGGTGTTGGATTTGAAACAACACCTGGGCCAACGTGTTATGGGGGTTTCAAGACATCTGAAACATATCCTTACTGATAATTAACAATGGATTTTCTTGTTGATTTTGAGAACCTTAAAGCCAGAATTGTCTGTATTTTATGAAAGAGCCATACTGTGAAGTTAGATGACAAGGCAGCCACTACTGGAAAGTAATTCTAAATTTCTAGTTTTGACTCTAATGCCTTTGTGTTCATTTTTCTTATTTTTAACAAGTAACAGTAGGTGTTTATGTGTAAGTAGCAAATTACTATTGTCAGTTTTGCTGAACATTTAAATAAAATATATTTCATTAATGTTTTGGCAGCATTTATTACAAAAATTCTGTATCCTTGGTTAATAATAAAAATAATTGTTTAAATTTGATCAGGCAGGAATTTCCCATACTCATGAGAGAACAGTACTTTACTTAATCATGTAAATTAATTTGCCTCTCAGAAGCCAAGGATATTTTAAGAAATAATCTTTTTTTTTTTTTAACTTTATTTATTTACTTACTTTTGGCTGCGTTGGGTCTTCATTGCTGCGCACGTGCTTTCTCTAGTTGCGGCGAGCAGGGGCTACTCTTTGTCTTGGTGCGTGGGCTTCTCATTGCGGTGGCTTCTCTTGTGGCAGAGCACGGGCTGTAGGCGCATGGGCTTCAGTAGTTGTGGCACGTGGGCTCAGTAGTTGTGGCTCGCAGATTCTAGAGCGCAGGCTCAGTAGTTGTGGCACACGAGCTTAGTTGCTCCGTGGCATATGGGATCTTCCCGGGCCAGGGCTCGAACCCATGTCCCCTGCGTTGGCAGGCGGATTCTTAACCACTGTGCCACCAGGGAGGTCCAGACAGAAAGCTTTTAGAGAAACTATTCTACTACAGCCAAACATCACAAAGGAAATTGTGGTACTACTTCCACCATCAGCTGGCTCTAATGAGGTTTTCCATGCTCCTCCTTTCCCTGTAGGAGCTGTGTCAGAGGAAGCCAGCTAAAGCATAGGTTTAAATAAGATCCCGAGTCTCATAACACAGTACCCAAAATGTCCAAGTTCCAGTAGAAACTCACCACACCTAGAAGTAGGAAGACCTCAAACTGAATGAAAAAAAAAAAAATCAATAGATGCCAACAGCAAGATGACAGAGATGTTAGAATTATCTGACAAAGATTTTTTAGGCAACCATCATAAAAATGCCTCAACATGCATGCATGTTTGAAACATGTTTGAAACAACATGCATGCATGCTTGAAACAAATGAAAAATAGTCTCAGCAAAATAACTATAAGATAAAAAGAAGAACAAGATAGAAATTTTAGAACTGAAAACTATAACAACAAATGTAAAACTCAGTGGATGGAATCAACAACAGAATGATGGGGACAGGGGAGAGAAATAGTGAACTGGACGGTAGAGCAATAGAAACTACTCAGTTTAAACTACAGAGAGAAATAGAGTAGAAAAAAAATGAACAGTGCCTCAGGAATCTGTGGGGCTATAACAAAAGCTCTAACATTGTATTATCAGACTCCTAGAAGGAGAGAAGAAAGAAGATGGCTCTGAAAAAGTACTCAAAGGAATAATGACTGAAAACTTCCCAAATGTGGCAGAAGATATAAACCTACAGATTCAAGAATCTACGCCAGCTCCAAACAGGATAAACCTTAAAAATCCACACCAAGACAAACTTCTGTCCATAGTCAAATCTCTGAAAGCTAAAGACAAAGAAAATATCTTGAAAGCAGTGAAAAACAATTCCTTACCAACTGGAATGACAGCAGAATTCTGTCAGAAACCATGGAGGCCGGAAGGAAATAGCACATTTTTCAAGAGCTGAAAAAAAACTTTCAGTCCACAATACTAGAACCAAGAAAAATATCTCGGGAGTGAAGGGAAATCAAGACATTCTCAGATGAAAGAAAAGCAAGAATTTATCAGTAGCAGATCCACCATAAACGAATGGCTAAAGAAATTATCTAACAAATGAAATGATAAAAGAAAGAACCTTTTAAGAGGGAACACCAGTAACCAGAAGTATGAATAATCACAATAGACCTTTTTCTTAAAACTTTTAAGTCTTGTAAGTTACATTTGACAATTGAAGCAAAACTCTAATGTCTGATGTGGTTTTCAGTGTACATATAGGAAATAAAACCACACTGGAGAAAAAGGGACATCAAGGGATGTACGGTCTTTATACTTCACCTGACTTGGTAGAATGACAACACTAGCAGACTGTAATAAGTTTTTATTTATTTATGTATGTATGTATGTATAATGCAATACTCAGAGCAACTACTCAAAAATATACAAAGAGACACACTAGAAAACAGTAGATAAATCAATGTAGAATGTTAAAAAGTGTTCAGTTAACCCTCAGAAAGGCAGGAAAAAGAAAACAAAAAATAGCAAACAAAAATAAAGTGGCATACTTAAACCCTCACATAGCAGTAATTACCTGGAATATAAATGATTTAAATACACCAATCAAAAGACAGAGCTTGGCAGAGAGGATTACAAAATATGACCCATCTATATGGTGTCTACAGGAAACTGACTTCAAATATAATGATACAGGCGGTTTGAAAATAAAATGATGGGAAAATACATATGACACAAACACTAATCAAAAGAAAGCATGAGTGGCTCTCTTAATAACAGATAAAGTTGACAGAGTGGGACATTACATGATAATAAAAGAAGAGTCCACCAGGGAGATAATAGCAATCCTAAATTTATGTCCACCAAACTACAGAGCTGCAAGATGTATGAAGCAAAAACCAGTAGAACCAATGGAACTAGAAATCAATCATCGTCTCCACCTATAATTATGGATTTGTTTCTCCTCTCAGTTCTGTTGGTTCTGATTATCAATAACAGGTAACTGGGAAATTCTTCAGAGACTTGGAAACTAAACAGTACACTTCTACATAATGTGTGTGTCAAAGGGGAAGTCTCAAAGGAAATTTTAAAAATACATTGAACTGAATGAAAAGTAAAATACAACATACCAGAATTTGTGGGAAACACATAATGCAGTGCAGAGAGGGACATTTATAGCATTAACCACATTCGTTAGAAAAGGGAAAAGTCTCAGATCAAGAATCTTAGCTCCTACCTCAAGAACCCAAAGCAAATAGAAGGAAGAAAATAATAAAGATAAGAGCAGAAATCAGTGAAATCAAAAACAGGAAAACAATAGAGGAAATTTTTAAAGCCTGTTTTTTTTTTTTAAGTAGATAATATAGCAAGACTGATTGACAAAGAAGCAAAGAGAGAGAAGGTACAGATTACCAATATCAGGAACAAAACAGAAGTTATAACTATAGATCCTGAAGACATCAAAGGAATAATACATAAATATGGTAAATTAGATGAAATGGACAAAAAGAACACAAACTCAGCCCAAACTACTACAGCTCTCCTAGTATGAAATAGAGTATTTGAACAGCCCTGTAACTATTAAGGAGATTGAATTAGTAATTTTAAAATGTTCCAAAAACAAGTATCTAGGTTCAGATGGTTTCACCGGAGGGTTCTACCAAACATTTACAGAAAGAATGAACACCAATTCTACACTATCCTTTCCAGAAAATAGAAGAGGTAGAACATTTCCTTATTTATTTTAAGAAGCTAATATTGCCCTGATACCAAAACCAAAGGAAAAAAAAAAAAGGGTACAGACTGATAACATTTATTAATATATGAAAAAAATTCTCAACAAAATATCAGCAAGTAGAATT